AGAAAAAGGCATTTACCACGAATTATACAGCTAACCTAATCCTTGTTCAAGTCCAGGAAAGATTTAATTAAGCATCCAACAGAAATGAAGCAAAGGACAATAAATGAAAATAAATTACCCGGAAAAAAACAGTCTATCTCAATTGAGTGTTCAAAACAATAAAAAACCAGTGACATGACAATAATAACCAGTGGATCAACAGACAAAACAGTAATAACACATGGATGATACTTGATGACTTACGTTATGGTCGGACAAAGATGCTGTCATATATCACCAGCAAATTCCAATTTTGAATATTAGCAGAATTTGAAAAGGACTTAATGCTCATGGAGCTATTATAATTGTGGCTGAAAAAATGGTGTAATAGTGGGGCTGAAGTGGAAGAACAAGGGATGAGCAAAGCAGGGGAGAGGAAGATGCTCTCAATTTTATTTTATTTTTCATCTTTATTTGATCATAGTTAGATGACTACACAAATTCCAACTAGTAGCAAGCACCATATTAAATCATTAACAGCATATACAATATATAAATTTTTTTTCTCTCATATTAAATCATTAACAGCATATAATATATCAAATTTCTCAAGAATAAAATACTAAAATACCTGATTTTCTTGAACTTGAAGTGCAGCACCCTTTATTTCAAATAATTGCAGACCACACTGCTTAAGACAAAGAAAGCATACCATTTCTCTTTATCGAATCAGCACACAGAAAATGGTTGCTGTGTATCACTTGAGGCCTCTCTCTCCACTTGCCCAAGATTGACAAACTATAAACAATGTAAGAATGAGAAATTTAAGGAGATGCAAGCTTTCCCTCTTATTACTGATATTTAAAAATAAAAATAAAAAGTTTGAAGAGCAAAGTTACTTGATGATGACTTTCTTACCTCTTTGCAGAGTCTTTGATCCTACAAAATAATTGCAACACAGCCACTTATAAGAAGCATTTCTACCCTCCAGTAGAAAATTTCAAACACAAAAATGTTTACAAATCCTTATGTAACTCATCAATTTCCATTACACTTGAGATATCTAGAAAGGTTCATTGACTCAGCAGACACTTGAAGGCTGATTTTCGGTCCCAAATGATGATGACTTAGCGATGCCACATATGAACATGTTTGGTCTGTTCCTACAAGTCCAAATTAGAATCAACAAATTAATTGTAATAGGAGTATACTTTATAATTTTGGTGATAATAGATTCTAAATGAACCTTAGAATAATGCTGGTTTTAATCAATGTAGACAGCTGTGTATATAAAACTGCATATTATACAGCTAACCTAAGCCATGTTCAAGTCCAGGACAGATTTAATTAAGAATCCAAACAGAAATGAAGCAAAGGACAGGAAATGAAAATAAATAACCCAGACAAAACAGTCTATCTCAATTGAGTGTTCAAAACAACAAATAACTAGTGTCATCTACAGAAATGAAGCAAAGGACAGGCAATGGACCAGAAGATTAGCATAAATTCCTCCATTGTTGAAAAAGAAACGGATGAATGATCACTTTTGAAAAATTGTATGCCCTAAGAGGCCTCCTTTTTTTATTTTGTGCGGCTGACTTCTTTTAACAGTACAAAAACAATAAGAGAAATAATTATTTACATAATACAGTCATACAGGTCCCAGCTGATATATGCAAACTACTATTAATCTAAAGAGTCATATAAAAGCAACCAATACGCTTTGGATCACATTTTCCATTCATGTCTTAATTCCTTACACCACGAGGATAAGTTTCCTGCATGAATCTTTTCAGTTGAACAAAACCTTGTGGTATGTGTGTAAATTGCAGTCTATACTGGTTCTTATATTTAGAAAGTATGAAGACCAACAAATAGGTAAACTATCTTACAAATGCAAAACATGTCTTAGGGGTGTGTTACATTAATTTTGTGCACTAGAGATGATGCATATATTTTTCAAATATCCAATTTCTGGAGGTTGAAAAAGAAAAAATTGGCAAGTTGGACTCAGAAATTAATCTGCAAGTTAGATCATCAGAAATTTAAATTCTGTATTGTTATTAAACAGTTATGATGGTGATGGGGCAAAAGAATGAAACGAAAAACAAACATTAGAAAGTAAACCTCCAGACCACCTGAAAGATCTAACTGTGACTTTCCATTTGTCAAGCAATGTTTGTGATCAGAATTACAAGAGCATAACATATCTACACAAGCTTCAAGCTGGTAACAGAATAAAAAAGATGAGACAACATGCCAACGGTGAAGGAAATGCGGAAGCGAGTTTGTGCCATGCCACCTATGTCAAAAAGTAGGCTTCTGCAGTTCAAAATAAGCAAAACCTGCTTTCATTAGAGGAAACAAAAACATTACAAAACAGGGGACAATTTATCTACTGGATAAGCTAGACTACTCAACTAACACCACAAATTGAACATTAAACATCCTAACATTACAGGAACGAAATATAAAATACAGCAGCACTCCACTAGGAACATAAAAGAAATCTCAAAACAGAGTGGTTGAATACTGACAGCGACATTAACATATAAAAGCATTCATTTCCTCTCTTATAAAAGCATTTTTTTTCTCATGTCTAATAAAAAACCAAGCCTTAACAAAGAAAATGAGAGGGATGACAAACAGAGCTGAAAGAAGCTTAATTCACTAAGAAGATTTTGTGATTCCTCAATGATCTCTCTCCTCCACCTAAGACCACCTGTTGATACTAAGATAATATACATGCAGTACCTGGGAAAGTACAACTTAAGCTCACCTGTTGAACCCTAAACCCCAATAATATACTGTGAGTTTAATCTTACAACTTAAGCTCACAGGTTATCCATAGACATTGAATACAATTTAAACTAGCTCAAATGAGACTCAAGTACATTTTTATTACGAAAATGGTACCTCAATATGTTGTGCATTCGATGCCTGTATTTGGGATTGGGAATGTGTCAGTTGAGATATTCCAGGTGAACCTTTCTATTTCTCCACGTTGTGACAATTGTTCCGTAGAAAAACAAATATCTATATTAAATAGTAAACCCTCCTCTGGAATAGACACATAAGGAAACCTTGCAAATGAAAAGCTCTCCAAAAGAAGATATGTTGTCCTGTGAAAAGACTGCTAATTCTTCAGCATTTGAAATTTAAATAGGACATAAGTTGTGATGAGCAGAACAAGCGCAATGAGAAATAAAGCAAATTTAACCAGAATTTACTGAGCAAAATAATAATAGAAATCAGATTGAGTGTTTGTGTTAAGTACTTTGTATGTGAGTGAGAGGGAGAGAGAGCTCATATCTTATGATCACTTCTTCGCCTATCTTGATGCAAGGAATGTGAGATACCTTTTCTACACGGCAAACACGGCAAAACAATGGTCGATGCACAGATAAGAAAGAGATGGTGGCAAACGCTCTTCTGGCAGGAATTGGATACTGTCACACATAGCCTTTGCTGCGATGAGAGGCGTTCAAGTTCCTCTCCTAGCATGAATTATAGACTGACAGGCCGTAATATATAGAGTGCGAAGAGTGGTATTAAGCAGCTGTTCCTTGAGAAACGTCTACAAGATATTGCCACCAAGTCCTTGCAAACCCCAGTAATCTCCCACCGAAGGGCTCAGTCTGTCACAATTCAAAATATGAAAATATTGCAGGTTGGGAGGCAAATGACACAAGATTTTGAAGATCATATATCCCCAAATGTCGAAGGCTGTGAGGGTGCCAATGTGTTTAGGCAATGACTTCATTCTGGCATCTACTGACTGTGACAAAAGTAGGCTTCTGCAGTTCAAAATAAGCAATAAGTATCGATGAAAACTTATTTTTGATAAGAAACGTGCTTTCATTACAAGAGAAATAAAAAAAATACAAAACAGGGGACAAGTTATCTACTGGATTAGCTAGACTACTCAACTACCACCACAGATCAGAGATTAAACATCCTAACATTACATGAACGAAATCTAAAATACAGCAGCAGTCGAATCACAACATAAGTGAAATCTGAACACAGAGTGTGGAATAAGACTGAGACATTAACATATAAAAGCAATCATTTTTTGCCCTACTAAAATGTAAATTTTTTTTTTTTTTTTTTTTTTTTTTTTGCGATGTCTAACAAATTCTCAGTTGCCGTGAAATGCAGGGACAAGGGTAAACCATAACCTAGAACAACAAAACTTAACAAAGAAAAGGAGAGAGATGATAAACAAAGCTTAAACAAGCTAAATTCACTAACAATTTTGTTACTAGGACGACAAATATCAGGCCACAACATTAATAACAAACCCGCTGTACCTGGGAAAGTCCAAAGATTAATTAATGGCATGAACCTATTAACAGACTATCCATAGGCATTAAATTCGATTTAAACTAGCTCAAATGAGACTCAAATACATTTTTTTTCATATAAAAGTACCTAAAAATGGTGTACATTTGATGCCTATATGCAGGAATGTATCAATTGAGATATTCCAGGTAAACATTTTCTGTTTCTCCTCGCTGCGACCCTCCTCTGGAAATGCCACATAAAGAAACCTTGCAAATTTTGAAAAGCTCCCCAAGGGCCAAGAGAAGGTATGTCGTCCTGCAAAAAGACTGCTAATTATTCAGCATTTGATACTCCAAGTAGGATATAATTTGTGACCAGCAACCATAATTTACTGAGCAACATGTTATTAGAAATCAGACTGATTGTTTTTTTCTGGAAAAATTATTTTTATCTGAAAATAGCATGAGACCAGTAAAAAGCAGTGACAATGCAAATGACAAAAAGCTATGATTTTGATCAGATGCGTGAAATTATTAGAAATTTGGAGATTGAATTTGGGCAATGTCCAACATGTATTTGGGTTTTTGGAAGAGAAAGAGAAGAGAATATGTGTTTTGGTTTTTGAATTCAATTAGAAGAAGAGAAGCAGTTTTTTAAAGTAAGAGAAGGCACATACCTCACCTGACTTTGATTTGAGAGTTGAGGGTTGAGAGTGAAATATGGAATAGCTCATATTATATGATCACTTCGTTGCCTATCTCGATGCAAGGAATGTGAGATATCTTGGCCCAATCTTGTCCCGTCTTATTCTTATACCTTTTCTCCAGGGCAGGACAAAGGAGGATACGCAGATAAGAAAGAGATGGCGGCAAACCCTCTTCTGGCAGGCATTGGAGACTGCGACAGTTCCTAATGTATAGCTTTTGAAGAGAAGTGAGGTGTTGAAGTTCCTCTCCTGGCAGGAATTCCAGACTTGGACAGTTGCAAATTTCTAGCACTTGAAGAGAAGTGAGGTGTCCAAGACCCTTTCCGTCCATAGATTTCAGAGTTGATAGATCAGAGATGCTGAAAGTGTGAAGAGTGGTAGGGAGCAGCTGTTCCTTGAGCAACGTCTCCAAGACATGGTCACTTCCACCCATACGAAATTGTTCAAGGGAGACAAGTGCTTGCAATCCCCAGTACTCTCCCACTGATGAAGCCCTCAGTCTGTCACAATTCCCAAGGCTAAAACGTCGGAGGTTGGGAGGCAAACCCCCATCTTCTGCAAACGACTCCAGATTCGGAAGATTCCATATCCGCAAAGATCGAAGGGCTGTGAGGGTGTGAAGGCGTTCGGGCAATGACTTCAAATTCTCGCATCCAAAAACTAAAAACTCACTGAGATGGCTGAGATGGCTGAGATTCTCATCAATGGAAAGGGATTCCAGATTCTTACAATCCACAATTTGAAGCACCGTCAATTTGGGAAAAATGCCCAACGGGAAGGACCTCATTGAATCACAGCTTTTCTCTATCCACAAATAGTCAAGAGATGTCAATTTGGCCAACATCTCATGGGGTAGGAATTCTAATATCCTACAATTGTCTATAGCAAGTGATTTCAAACTTTGAAGGCCATCTTTAGGGAACGACGACAGCGTTGGACAATTCCGAAGAGTCAAACTTTGAAGGCGATTGCAGAGCTGTTTGGGCAAGCACTGTACGTCAACAACATTTCCAATCTCAAGTCGGGACAGGAGCGTTGTCTCTAATAACGATAACAGAGCTGTTTGGCATCCATTTTCTATTTTCAATTTTTCAAGAGATTTATAGTTAAGACTATTGGTAGTTGTGGAAGTGGCCCTTCCATCATGTAAAACGCCACAGCCGGACACCGTAAGCTTCTTCAAGCAAGGCAGCTCACAAGGCAAACTTCCTCCCAGCTTCGGACACTTAATTAGAATCAGCTCCTGCAAATGAGGAAAGTCTGGACCATATTCACCTCCACTTGCACTTCCACTTGGCACCCATTCCTCCCACTCTAGCATTTCCCTAAACTCCAGCTTCTCCAAAGATTGAAATGGCTGAGTTAGATAAGCTCCATTTCTGTCATAGAATTCGACACCAATAGTCTTCACAAGCTTCATTCTTTCTATACAGAGTTCCTTGAGTGCTGGTAGCTGCCCAACTGGTGGGAGCGACCAACAATAACTACAGTTACTGAGATGCATGACTTGTATGTTAGAAAAAGATGAGTCTCCTAACCAATTCGGAAAATTGGTTCCACCATAGAATCTGATGGTTAATTTCTCCAAATTCACACAAGGCTGGAGCTTGTCGAGTACATCTTTCTCCTTTCGGGAATCATCAGCATCCTCCGCACCCCATGAAAACTCTAACTCCTTGAGATCTTCCTTGTGCTTCATATTGGCGTGCAGTGCATCCCTCGCATCAACTACATTTTGTAGCTTCAAAATTGATAGTTTTCCTCGAAGTTGCGGGAACTCCCTCAATTCTCTTATGCCTGACCCAGTAGATTTGCCCACAACAAATGCAGTCAATGTTCTCAAATTTTTCAATCTACCCATTTGCACCGGCATCTCTTCAATTTTAGTTCCATTGACATCAAGATGATGCAAATTAATCAACTCCTTCATGCATGCAGGCAATTTAATAAGAGAGCTACAACCTCCCAACATCAATTTCTGTAAATTAATCAATTTTCTAATGTCTGCAGGCAATTCAAGGAGAGAGGAACAATTTGACAATAGTAATGTCCGCAAGTTGTAGAGATTAAAAAGTACCCTAGGTAACCTTTCAATTGCAGTATGGGAAAGATCCAAGTAGCGCAAGTGAATGAGGTTTGCAATAGAATCAGGTAACACAGTGACATTTTGATAACGTGACAATGATAACACCCGTAAACATCTTAGTGATGGCAACAAATCTTGTAGAACTTTTTTACTTACAAAAAATCTTTCATGAGATATATCTAGATTTAAAGAGGTAGGTAGGAAGGTCCGCAAACATTTAGCCTCATATAATGGTTCAAATCTTGGAGCAGCATCAAATTTTTCCCTAGCATATGACAAATGACGAGCTCTTTTAACTTCACGAGATACCCCACCTTCGAGCCTATGGCAAAACCCCCGAGACATGAACGTAGCCAAGTCATTAATGAGATCATGCATAATGAAGCAGAATTTCCTTGACTTTTGAAACAACGATCGTGATAATAGCTCATCAAAGTATCTTCTAGCCAATGCTTCCATCCTTTTTCCATTCTCAGCTTGTGGAATTATACCTTCTGCAATCCATAATTGAACTATATCTTCCTTTTCAAACTCATAATCCTTTGGAAAAATTGAACAATAAGCAAAGCATCGTTTCAACTGAGCAGGAAGATAATGGTAACTCAACCCTAGAGCCGGAAGAATGTTAGTTGTATCATAGGGTTGGTCCCAAAAACTGTCATTTAGTATTCTATTCCAGTACTCGAAATCTATATTGCAACGTAACAAACCCCCAAGTGTTTGTGCAGCTAAAGGCAACCCTTTGCATTTGAGTGCAATTTGCTTTCCAATGTCTTCCAAGTTTGGATGTGCACTACAGTTTTCATTTCCAAACGCATGTTTTGAAAGTAACAACCAGCAGTCCTCATGTGACAGTGGTTCCAAGTATTGAATAGGAACATTTTGCATGACAGATGCTATATTTTTGTTCCGTGTTGTTATGATGACTTTACTCCCCCTTGCTCCTGACCTAAAAGGAGTTTGGAGGAACTTCAAATCAGTATAATCCTCATTCCATAGGTCATCCAATACAAATAAAAATTTTCTTCCCCTCAGTTGTTCTCTTAGTTCAACTTGAAGCAAATTCAAATCTGTCGTATTACAAGGCTTTGAAGTGACTGACTCAAGAAGAGTTTTTGTTATCCTAATAGGATCATAATCTTCTGAAACACAAGCCCAAGCTTGAAATGTAAAATGACCTTTCACCTTATCGTCATTGTAAAGCATTCGGGCAAGGGTTGTCTTGCCAACCCCGCCCATTCCAACAATGGTGAGGACCGACACATCATCCTTGCTTGCATCATCAGATAGCAACACTTTTGAGAAATTTTCTTTGACTTCATCTCTACCATAGACACAAGGTTCATGAACCAAGGAAGTTGTTGGAGTTCTTTGTGAAACCTTCCGTCCAACATCTTCTCTCAGACCAAGAGCACTTTTCAGTTGTACAAAGTTTTCTAACCTTGCTAGTAACTCTTGTATCTTATCATTCATGCTCTGATAAAAATGATTACGAGAAGAAAAGAGCAAGTTCCGCACCTTGTTGGTAAATTTTCCAGTTTGATCTTCTCCTTCGAACTTGCATCGTAAAGCTTCCGTGTCAATCTCATCAAGTAAGTCCTCTGCATCAAAGACAGCATGTTTGAGCTCGTCGAGCCAATTCCTCACAGCAGGTTTCTTAATTTGCTTCTCCTCTGCGTCATCGAGAACTGCGTATAAGGTCAACAGCGTCGTCTTCAGCTTCATGAGGAGTGGCTCATCGAGTTTCTTGTGCCAAAATAAGTCAACGAACTCGGGTGAAGTAATTCTGTCGCACAACACCTGGACGGAAGCAGAGATAAGAGCCTCTCCGATCAAAGCCATGTCTTTTCTCTTCTCTGCAGACTGCAAGGGATTTGGATGAAGTAAAATATTCCAAGATTTGCAAGTAGCTAGGCTAGCACAACTTGGAAATACAGGTTTGTAAACAAGTATGGAAGCTTTTTGAGACGGTAAATAACATGAACTTGTAATCTTTCAAGGACTGTTCCTTGTTTGTTTGTGGGGCAACTTCTTCTGAAAACTTTTCCATGGCTTCACATGGGGATGCAATATAATATTGTGTAGGTAAAACACAGTAGTCTTTCGGTGGCCTCACATGACGATGGGGTCGTCTGTATACGCAAAGTTGGACGCAAAAGCCTTTGAATAATAACGCAATTTCAAAAGGATCTAATTGCAGTGAACACAAGGATAAACGATTAATTAATTCTTTCACTCAAGCCTGTCCTCCACTCAAGTATTAATTAATTTGTTACTTTATGTAATCAGCTATAGCAGCAGCTGCATATAATTGGGTTCAGATTTTCTGTCCCCATTTTCTCTGTATCCTCCCTCTCCCTTGCCTAAAATCTTGACATCTGTCCATTCACTTAACATCAACAACTCTCTAAAAGAAAAATAAAATAAAATGAAAAAAAAAAAAAACCAGAGAATTAAAGGAGAACCCAGGACCAAGCAGCCAGCCGAGGTCTCCACCCACCCACCCAGGGGCGGAGCTATTCATAGGCCTGAGATGGCTTGGCCCTCCCTACCATCTTCTCACCTCTGACTGTATGAAGAGTATAGTATAGATTGCACAAAAAATCCCATAGTTTTAAGCTTGTGGCCCACCCCACCCCGTCAATAACAAAGCCTCTGTCCTCTCCTCGCCGCCATTGAAGCCTCCCTCCTCTCCTCGCCACCATTGAAGCCTCCCTCCTCTCATCGCCACCATCGAAACTGAGTTGACCATAACTCGCCAATCAATGTTTTTTTTCAAGAACAAAAAAGAGAAATTTGTGTTTTTCCTTTCCTGTAAAACTCTTATTCAAAACCTTTAAATATAAATAATATATAAAACAAAGCTTTAAAAGTAAAGTAAAAATAAAGAAACAAATAAATAAGTAAAATAAGAGTAAGAAAACAAACTTGCTATGGTGAAAGCACATCAAAGACATTGTCCTAAAGCCTTTGTAGCCTCTCTACGTGAAGGTAATAAAGGTCTATAAGACTCCAAGATACGACTCCTTATATACAAGCTCAAGATCCGCTATGAGCACGTTCACAATCAATAGAAATCTCCAAGTCACAAAACCGTTGCCCAAAAATAATATTATTAAAAATAGAAGAATAGAGAAATTAGATTGTTGTGTGTTTCAAATTGAAGGAGAAGTGGCCTTTTATGGGCATCCAATACTTGTAATATCCATACACATTAAACCATAAAAATTAAGGCAATAAGTAATAAAAACTGAAAATTAAACAATTGTAACTCCCATAAGAAATAAAAGAAAACAACCGAAATATTAAAACAAAATTTTAAAATCAAAATGTTAAAATTTAGAAGCCTTTCAAATAACAACAATTTGGACGTATATACTTATTGTTTCTGATTTATGTCTGTCTAGTTGATTAACCATAGTGAAGGTGAATTGGACAAATCTACTCCACCTAGATGGCAACGTTGAAGCATCCACAACATTCAAATATATCGGCAAGAAGTTGTTTCCGTAATACGCCTTCGGATATATGCGGATCCGCCTGATCAGAGCAACTAGGGGCCGTTTGGTTCGTGGGAAAGGAGGCATAGGAATGGGAATTCAATTGCTTTCCCATGTTTGGTAAGTCCGGGAATGGGAAACGGATTCCTGGCACATGGGAAAGTAGGGGGGAAAGTGATGCCCCCCTCTTAACTTGGGTTTTGCTTTCTCTCCTCATGGGAAAGTTTGGGAAAATGTGCCAACATTCAATGCACAATTTTCATGACTATTTTGTCCCTATGAACAATTTATAATTACAACGTATCATTAAATGCATTCTTTTTTTATTCGATTTAATATGGGTATAATTGGAAAATTATACAAATTTTGTTTTCCATTCCTACTCAAAACAAACATGGGAAAGGAAACAAAGTGAAATCTCCCGATTACTTTCCCAACATTACCAAACGTGGGAAAGGAATCTTTCATTCCCATTCCTTGGGAAATGACATGGGAATTGATTTCCCCTCAAATCCATTCCGTGAACCAAACGGGGCCTTAAAGTAAAGTTTATACCGTGTAGTCCAAAAATAATAACATAGAAAAGTCATCGTGCACTTTTTCATTATGTTTTTACAAGAAAATGAGGATTTTTTTTGGAGTGTAAATAACAGCTCCCTAGCGCCAGAGAGAAAATTTAAAAGACGTGTACTCAAATTCAAATATAGGTACCATTTAAAACCACCAATGATGAAAACTTCATAGTACAACTTGTTGCTATCCAACTTAGAGAAGTTTTCGATTCACCATGTGAATGTTCCTGCTGCCAAATATAGTGTAATTGAGAGAGTTGAGAATGTAGAACAAGAAGAACAAGATAGGTTTTGCAGAGAATTCAAATCTGCCAATTGAATTACTTACTTGGTGAAGGGTTAGATATACAAGTATACAAGGTGATTATTAGTTACAAACAATGCACAAGACATGGAGGGAAACATGGAGAGTTTCCATCCCTAAAATAAGGAAAAAGAAAACAAGGAAAAGTAACAAGGTGGTAGACAAGCCATTTAGGGATGTCTATGTTTTGTCTTTGTCTTTACTAACACTCCCCCTCAAGTTGGTGCAAAGATATCACGCATGCCCAACTTGTCCAGTGAGTCATGGAAAACTTTACTTGATACGGCCTTCGTCAGGATGTCAGCAAGTTGGTTTTCCGAGTTTACAAATGGAAACTTGATTATACTCCTTTCTAGTTTCTCTTTGATGAAGTGTCGGTCGACTTCCACATGTTTGGTACGGTCGTGTTGTACTGGGTTATGTGCTATCTCGATAGCTGATTTACTGTCGCAGTACAAGTTTGTAGCTTTCAATGGTTTAATTCCCAGATCCTTCAGTAATCTCCGTAACCAGAGCAATTCACAAACTCCTTGAGCCATTCCCCTAAATTCTGCTTCAGCACTTGATCTAGCCACAACTTTTTGCTTCTTACTTCTCCAAGTGACTAAGTTGCCCCCCACAAATGTAAAGTATCCAGAAGTAGAACGTCTATCTGTGATGGATCCTGCCCAATCCGCATCTGTGTATCCTTCTGGGTTCATATGTGTATGTTTGGAGAATATCAACCCTTTGGCAGGGGCAGCCTTCAAGTACCTCATGATCCGAGTTACTGCATTCATGTGTGCCTCACTTGGTTGATGCATAAACTGACTCACCATACTCACAGCATAAGCTATGTCGGGGCGTGTGTGTGATAGATAAATCAGTCGCCCAACCAATCTTTGATACCTTTCTTTGTCAGTGGGTACTTGGTCTGGATACATCCCTAACTTGTGGTTCTGCTCAATAGGTGTGTCAGCTGGCTTACAATCAAGCATTCCAGTATCTGTTAACAAGTCTAACACATATTTTCGTTGGAATAGAAATATGCCATGTGTTGATCTAGCAACTTCTATGCCAAGAAAATATTGTAACTCACCTAATTCCTTCATCTCAAATTTACTAGCAAGGAGCTTCTGCAGATTCTTCATTTCTTCATTGTCATTACCAGTAACCACCATATCATCAACATAGATGATAAGGGCCGTAAGTTTGTCACCACGACGCTTTAAGAATAAAGTGTGATCCAAGTGGCTCTGAGTGTACCCAAAGCGCTTCATAGAATCTGTGAATTTTCCAAACCAGGCTCGTGGTGACTGCTTTAGCCCATATAATGATTTTCTCAGCTTGCACACGGTGTTGGGACCAAGTGCCATGGAGATCCCTGGTGGTGGTTCCATATACACTTCTTCTTGCAATTCCCCGTGAAGAAATGCATTCATTACATCATACTGCAATAGTGGCCAATCAAGGTTTGCAGCCAATGACATGAGAACACGTACGGTATTGATCTTGGCAACAGGTGCAAATGTCTCTTGGTAGTCAATTCCATACGTTTGTGTATACCCTTTGGCCACTAATCGAGCTTTGTATCGATCTATGGATCCATCAGCTTTGTATTTAATGGTGTATATCCACCGACATCCAACGGGTTTCTTCCCTTGTGGCAACTGGACTATTTCCCATGTAGAATTCTTTTCCAGAGCTTCCATTTCAATCGCCATTGCTTCAGCCCATCTGGAATCTGTTATAGCATCCTGCCACTTATTTGGAACACATACAGTAGATAATTGATTGACAAATGATGCATATGACTTTGACAATCTATGAGTTGAAACATGGTTATTAATGGGATATTTAGATTTGGCAGTAAGGTCAGGACAATATTGAGGCTTGGGTTTTCCTCTAGTGGTCCTAGGTGGGAGAGTGTATGGTATAGCATTAGGTGCTTCGGGAATTACCTCAAGTGTTTCCTCATCACGAGACGACTGGTCCGATGGTTGAGAAGAAGGGGTTGGATTTTGTTGTTGATCGCAGCAACCATTTGAATTGTCTCCTCCGGGATCTTCACCAAATAAGAACGACAATTTTCCAATACCTTCATCGCTGCCCAAATTTTGAAGTTCACTGGTGCTTGGCGACCGGTCGCTGGGTTCTGTGCGACCGGTCGTTTTGTCACAAAGTCGATTTTCCTCCCTGGAGTCTGGACGACCAGTCGCTTCTATATTACGACCGGTCGTTTTGTCACAGAGTCGATCTTCATCATCCCTAGAGCAATGCGACCGGTCGCTGTGGTCAGTGCGACCGGTCGTTTCAGGAAAGCGACCGGTCGCTTCTGGGTTGCGACCGGTCGTTTTGTCACAGAGTCGATCTTCATCATCCCTAGAGCAATGCGACCGGTCGCTGTGGTCAGTGCGACCGGTCGTTTCAGGAAAGCGACCGGTCGCTTCTGGGTTGCGACCGGTCGTTTTGTCACAGAGTCGATCTTCATCATCCCTAGAGCAATGCGACCGGTCGCTGTGGTCAGTGCGACCGGTCGTTTCAGGAAAGCGACCGGTCGCTTCTGGGTTGCGACCGGTCGTTTTGTCACAGAGTCGATCTTCATCATCCCTAGAGCAATGCGACCGGTCGCTGTGGTCAGTGCGACCGGTCGTTTCAGGAAAGCGACCGGTCGCTTCTGGGTTGCGACCGGTCGTTTTGTCACAGAGTCGATCTTCATCATCCCTAGAGCAATGCGACCGGTCGCTGTGGTCAGTGCGACCGGTCGTTTCAGGAAAGCGACCGATCGCTTCTGGGTTGCGACCGGTCGTTTTGTCACAGAGTCGATCTTCATCATCGCTGGAGCAA